TGGAGAGAGAGAATTTTTTAATATTTGTTTTTCAGTTTTCGGTGGACACAACATCTTTATTTTATTTTTATGTAGTGCTGAGGATTGAACCCAGCGCCCTGCGCATGCCAGGTGAGCATATTACCGCTTGAGCCACATCCCCAGCCCTATATATATTTTTAAATCAGGGAGCTGGGCACAGTAACACATACCTTTAATTTCAGCTATTTGAGAGGCTGAGGCAGTAGGATTAGAAGTTCAAGCCTAGCCAAGATGATATAGCAAGACTCTGTCTCAAAATAAAAGAGCTGGGGGTGTAGTTCAGTAGTAGAGCACTTGCCTAGCGTGCTTGAAGCCCTGGGTTTAATTTCAAGTACTGCAAAAAAATAAAATTAAAAAGAAAAACATGGTATGTACTAAAAAGTAGCAATAAGCCACTTCTATAGGCCTTATTCAGTGGACATTCTTCCATAAACAGACTGTGTCCAAGGGACTTTGCAAAAAAGTGAGGCAATTAGAATAGGTATTGAGGGCTGGAGGTGCAGCTCAGTGACCAAGCCTTGCATGATTAGGACACTGGGCACCAGGAAGTATTAGAGTAGGAGTTAAATCAGTGGGGTGGGGTTTGCCCCCATGGGATTTTAGGGACTTAATGGCATGTATTGATCCCTCCTGTTGTAAAACAAGAGATTTTTCTTTCCCGGACTTTTCTTTGGGTCTGAAGTAGGATTCTTAATCCAGAGAACTGTGTGGCATTAGACCCTCCTGAAAGAGCAGAGGGTCAAAAGATTGTCTTAGTCTCTCCCAATAAGCAGGTAAACTGAGGTTCTCTCTCCACCAGGGTGTTGCTAAGTAAGCACGTCAGAAAGCCCAGAGAACTTTAACTGCTTCCCCCAGGTTCTGCCTGAAAGAAACTGAACATCGAGATTCTGCTATGTCAGCATATTTGTCCAAAAAGTTTATATCGCTGATTGGGCAATTTGGCTCAAACTTGAACGTAAGTATAACTGGACCACATGTAGTAGAAAATCAAAGCTGGGTAGGCTGCCGTAAAGTGCATCATTTTTATCCACTGGCCCTTGCTCCACACACCCCATACATCTGCTGGAACGCACAGCTTGCTCCCCAGACCCACATGGAGTGATGTCAGACTGTAAATCCTCTAGGCCAACAACAAATGCTCCTGTCTGGGGAGGATGCTCTTTGAAATGAACATTCCCTGACAAATGAAGGGCATATGATAATGAACGTGTCATTAAAGCGGCGTGTCTTGAATCACATTATAATTTCACAACAGGCAGTCTGTCATGGGACCTGGTGGATGGGCAATGCAGGCATTCTGGACCATCAGTGTCAGGATGACGTTCAGGACATGATGAGTTATCAACCTCGGGGGTACAGACCGATTAGGTAGGAAGGACATTTGATTCCAAGGAACTTGGGGATAAGAAGTTTGGGTGCTTTGGATGGTTGCCACACACCCCTCAGGAGCTCTCAGGGATTAAATGCTCCCCACCCACAGTCTTGATCCAATTTGGCTCTGATCATTGTTTCTATTCGTAACATGAGACACCATATGGCACTGCCTGGCCTGTCAACGTGGCTCTGGTTTTTAAGGGTTCTTTAATGTTAACGTGGTGAGAAGCAGGCCGCAGTCAGCCCTTCCGTGCGGACGCGGGGCTCCGCCTGCCCCAGGAATCCCCCTCCCGCCTGTCTGCTTTGCTTACTTGTTATAGAGAACAAGGTCCGGCCGCCAGATCTTTTCAGAGGGAATGTGAATTTTTTTCACACCACCATAGTCATCTGGATTCCATTTTAGGTTGTAATCCACCCATTGCTGGAAATGAAGACATTGAAGCAATTAAAAAGTCAAAAACATTTTATAAAATGTTTGGGGGGCAGGTGAAGAGCCTTCATGGCCTCAGTAATTCTGAAACGGACAGAAATTATGTTTGGATAAGGAAAGTCTGATTCAGAATTCAGCTTTTACTTTAGCCAACAGTAACCGCAAAGTGTGCGCATGGGTACTAAGTACTGGACCCAGTCCTCACAACAGTCCTATAGAGCGATTAGTGACCTTAGTTTACAGAAAAGGAAGCAAAGAGACCCCAGGTCACACAGCTGAGGGTGGCAGATCCACCAGGCCACACTGTCCACCCTCAGGAAAGGAGACTGGCCCTAATGCAAACATTTATGGCAAGCAGGCAAAATCATTTCTAAAAAGCATTATATATTTTCCTGCACTAAAAAATATATATATATGCCCAATGTAGTGAATTTGGTTTTTTGTTTGTTTGTTTGTTTTTACTGTGCTTGTTGTTTTGGTACTGGTAATTGAACCCAGGGGCACTACTCTACTACTGAGCTACATCTTTGTCCTTTTTATTTTTTTATTTTGAGACAGTGTCTTCACTAGTTGCTGGCCTTGAGTTTGGAATCCACCTGTCTCAGCCTCCTGAGTCACTGGGATTATCTGGCTCAATGTGGCAAAATGGGATAACACAAAGGTATGGGCTGAATTGTGTCCCTTTAGAATTCATATGTTGAAGTCCTAACTCCCAGTATTTCAGAATGTGACTTTATTTGGAAATAGGGTCTTCACTGAGATTACTAAGTGAAAATGAGGCTGTTAAGGTAAGCATTACTTCAATATAACTGGAGTCCTTATAAAAAGGGGAAATTTAAAAACATCTATGTCTCTCAGATGTATACCCAGGGAGAAAGCCATGTGAACATGATCTCATCTACAAGCCAAGGAGAAAGTTCTGGAACTTCTCTCATAGCCCTCAGAAGGAACCAACTCTACTGGTATCTTGACCTTGAACTCCAAAATGGTAAGATGATAAATTTCTGTTGTTTAAGCTACCTAGAGTCTGGTACTTCGTTATGGTAGCCCTAGCAAATTCATAACATAGAAAAAGCCCTGGGTTTAAAAAACAAAACAAAACAAACAAAAACAAAACAAAACAAAACAACAACAACAAAAACACAACAGGGCCTATATCCCCATCATTCCAAAATCCTTACTTTTAACATTTTAGTGTATGTACCTAAATTGATTTCCTCTGGGCCCAGGTTTAATTTCAAGGTGAATAAAAATAACATAAATGCAGTTATCGTGCTGAATTACCTGCTTCAGACGAACATTGGTTGTCACAATCTGATTTACTTCATCCTGAAAAAATAAAATGTCTCCTCTTTAGGGAATGGAGAGGCAACCAGAAGGGAGAGTGCCCCCAGGTGTGAGGGGTGGGTGCCACGCGCCCCCCCCCAGGGCCCCTGTCTCACCACATTGATGAGCTGTATCAGCTGCAGGCCCACGGTGACCTCCACAGCCTGGTGGTGGTCCTCCACTGGCCGGACCACGCTGCTATAGTTTTTAAATAGCATTGCCAACAGACGGGTCTCATGTTCGGAGCCCAGGACAAGACCAGCTGAGAAGCAAATGACACATACCCTGTCAGACACCACCCCCACCCTGTATTCACTAACACAAGGAAATCAAGGCAAAACCAGAGCTCGGAAGGCAGGCGGGGCCTCTGTCAAAGGGCTCCTGGGTGCAGGTTTTGTTGCCTTAAGCTCCTTTCCAAGCGCAGTTGTTGGCATGGCGGATTATCACACCACTTGTACTTTGGACAGGTGACATTCCTTAATATAGTCCCTGGCTGAATCAAATTTTGCCAGGAATATGCATACACAAAAAGAAGGGTCCACAAAAAAGCCAATGTCAGTGTTTCAGAACTGACATTCACATGGGATAGTGAAATCTTGGACAAGGTGGCCTCAGATCGTACGATGCCATGAACAGTCAAAAATAGGTGCTCAATTGCACTCCTCAGGAGGGATGTGGTTAACAAAACGGAAAGTAATGAGTGCTGGTGAGGCTGTGGAGACGCTGAAACCTCCCATGTGGCTGTGGGGATGTAAGGTAACAGGTACTCAGCAAATCTGAGTTATCATATGATCCTGCAGTTCTACCCCTAAGACCATACCCAAAAGAATAACAGCAACATCCAAAAGGTGGAAACAGCTCCAGTGTCTATTGATAGATAAGTGGATGATCTGGGTGAGGTGGCACACACCTGTAATATCAGCTACTCAGGAGGCTGACACAAAAGGATCACAAGTTTAAGGCCAGCCTGGACAATTTAGTAGACCCTGTCTCAAAAAAAAAAAAAAAAAAAAAGGACTGGGGGTATAGTTCAGTGCTATAGCACCCCTGAGTACTGCAGTCAGGGTGTATAGATAAATGGATGAACAAATTGAAGTAGATCTGAACAATGGAACATTACTCAGCCACAAAAGGAATAAAGTACTGATCCATGCTACAGCACAGGTGGACTTTGACAACATCATGCTGAGTGGAAGAAGCCAAATGTAAAGGGACACGTGTTGTACATTTCCATTTGTAGAAATGTCCAGAATAGGGAAAGCCACAGAAATGGAGAGATCAGAGGTTTGTGGGCATTGAGGTCTAAGGAGTGACTGCTTAATGGGTTTAGATTTTCCTTTTGGGATGATGAAAATGTTCTGCAACTAGTTAATAGTAATATCATTTAACATTGTAAATGTACTGAATACTGCTGAATTGTACACCTTGAAATGCTAAAATGATAAATTCATACAATGTGTGTTTTACCATAATTTTAAGCCATCACTGCTGGAGGATACACATCCCAGTTAAGTTGTTAAAAAAGTGAAAACCCTGTGCTTTGTTGACTGGAGTTGAGGGCTCTTGTTGGAAACATGAGTGACCCCATCTTTTCTACATTTCCTTCGAGATAGAGAGCGGCATCACCAAAGACAGCCCTTCTCTGCCCAGCAAGTTCTATGGTCTTTAGCAGCCTCAGATGAGGCGGGCAGACATCTCACTAGAGAAGGTGGTCCACTTGTCCAAGGTTGAGCAGCCAGAGGGCAGAACTCTTGAGCAGAACCTGTGCATGCTCCTGCACCAACTCTTAATCTCGGGGTGTGATGTGGCTATGCTGGAACCTCACAACCACATGCACATTTATTCCTGGGAGAAAATGTGTTCCAAATTCCAGCAAGTGTCTTGTGAAAGAGCTTTGTAACTCAAGCCACCCAGGAACGAAGGACTGTCTGCTCAGGGTAGTAGACACACGATTAGAGGAAGGAGACACACGATCCTTTTACCCTGGTTCGTGTAACCAGATCTCCCCTTTCCGCAGGTTATTGCTGAGGCCACCAGAACTTCTCCGTAGGCCAAGGAAATTTTAAATGTTGAATGAGTGAGATGCTTTCCCTTTTCGCCCAGTAGTATTAATTTTTAGCCTCTAAGATAGGTTATTTTTTATTTTTATTTTTGGGTACCAGGGATGAAACCCAGGGGCGCTTAACCACTAAGCCACATCTCCAGCCCCCTTTTTTATATATATATATATATTTTATTTTGAGACAGGGTGTCTCTGAGTTATTAGGGCCTCACTAAGTGGTTGAGGCTGGCTTTGAACTTACGATACTTTTGCCTCAGTCTCCAGAGCCTCTGGGATTACACTGTAATCTTTACTATTTTTCTACTTTGATTCTACATTTGGAAGAGCTTGTAAAAAATTATTATTAAATAAAAAGTAATTATATATTTTCTCTTTTTATTAGTCAATGAAAATAATAACCAACACAACAATTTGTTATATGCCAGATATTCATATACATATATATACTTAATACATACTAACTCAAATCTCACAACTAGATGCTACTCTTATCTCTACTTTACAGATGAAGAAATTGAGGCACAGGGAGGTTAAATGACTTGCCCAGATTTCATAAGTGGTAGATTCAAGAATACAAACCCAGAGCCCAGGCTCTCAACCATGATTTCTCACCTAGGGCTTTGGATTTGCTTGAAATAATCATTGTAATGCAATGAATTGATACATTTTCACCCCTCTGTAAAATATGTATTTTAATGATCCCAGAGAGCCTTCTTCAAGCCCCTGTCTTTGTATTATTGCCTTGAATCCTTATAATGATCCTTTCAGGTTACTTTTTACCCCCACTTTACAGATAAAAAAACTGAGGTTCCGAGCTGAGCAATCCATCCCTGGTTCCCCTGCCAGTTAGAGGGGGGATTATAGCAGAGGCAGTTTACCTCCTCCCTACAGATAAATGTATCATTTCCATACAGATTATTGAAGCTTTCAGTGTAGCTTAAATACCTTTATTGTTGTCTTCATGGACTCCAGGTAGAGAACCCTTGTTGACATAGCCTACCTCTTCATTTCTAGTATCCCAAATTTTCTGAACCCCCAAATTCCCAGGCTACCAAACCAAAGCTTCCAAGGATACCAAGGTACATAACTCCACAGAGCTTCCACATGGCACCCCCCAAATGCCACCTGCAACTCTCCAAGGGAGTGTGTAGTTCAAAGATACAGTTTTTGCAATTGCTTCACTGAGCCCTTGGGACATGGCAGTCCTCCTGGCTGCCATGCCTTGTCCATCCCAGGCCCCACCCACCACAGGGACTGGGCCCTGGAGTGGATCGCTGAGCCTCTTGGCTGTCGTTTTGGCATTGTCCTGGGCTACTTATTCTTAAATGATTGTTTATTCCAGTTTAACAGCAATAACACACCATTTCATGGATTAGTTTCATTGGCACAGGTTAAAGGGACGAATATTTATAACATTCAAAGGAAGAATTCTATGAATCCCCTCCCAACTCCAATATGGTTTGAAGAGTTAGGTCAGTTCTTCATGGATTCAGTGAATCACAGTAAAAAACTTTCATGAAAAGTCAGTGTAAAAATAAACAGATCATGTCAGAGTCTCCCTTTTGGCAAGATTGTTTTGGTAATTTTTAGTCAGATGGTGTAACATTATTCATTCATCAAAGATTTGTTGAGTATTGCTGTATTGCTATAGGAGTTTGGAGATATATGAGCATTGCTATAGAAGTTTGGAGATATTCAAAGGTGAATCTGGCACAAATCCTGTCTTTCTGTCTTCATAGAGTTTGACATGTGTCATTAACATAAATAACTGTGAATGAGTTGGAAAATTAGATGCCATGAGAAAGATGACAATGAAATACTTGGGATTACAAAGGTGGAAGAGGTTGAAATGAAAGGTGCTGTGTAAATAGAATAGCGATGATTATATGTTCAGCTATCATAAGAAAAAGTGTTCTGATATGCATGAGCATTTTACCCAGAGAGGACTGATTGAGCCATAATTCCAAGTGTGCTTTTTGTATCATACTGGTCCAACTTGTATTTCTATGTAGGGAAGAGCCTCTGGGTTGGGCAAAATGACTTTTGGACTCTTACTAGTCACTGTGGGTAATTCTAATCTCTGATGCTGTGTCTCTTGCTACCTTGGAAATTTCAGGCTGCTTTCTGACTATGCATCTAACAAACAAAGTCTCCAACTGATCACATTCCAAAATTTATAAATTAAGTGACCTTGGGCAGGTCAGTTCTATCTTTCAGTCTGTTTCCTTACAATAAAAATTGAGGTGTTTGAATGCCTGATCTAGCTCTAAATTTCTATGAACCACCCCTGAGAATCAATACTAGCAAAATTTAGGTTTGATCAAAATACATATTGTAAACTTCTTTTCATAGCTAAACACACATTTTTAGAGGTCTTTGGTATCCTAAGAGATCTCTTAAGTATTTTTATAGAAGCATATCGCTTAGGAATTTTCATTGAGTGTGTTATTTGAACATGCACACACACATGCACTCATACACACCAGGCCAGCTTAGGTTGGATCAAGTCCAAATCCCACAGGATATAATTTAGCTGAGTTTAAACTATTTCCCTCAACCCTGCTATTGAAAAAATTAATAATATAGCTTTTTACCTCTTGTCCAGAGTCCTGTGCTTATCAGAGCAATATTAAAGAAATCACAGAATGTAAGTTACCTTATTTCTCAATTGGGATGATATCACCAGTAAACTTTTACATGAAGCAATCAGCAAACATCTCCTATTTCCCTGTATCGGAAGTTTGGGATTCAGGATAATATTTCAGCTGCTGTGTTGTGACACATTCCAGAGCAGAGTCAGGTCAAGGGCTGTGTAAGTTTTTATAGCTTCAATTCAAATCCACACCTACATTTGGTAACATCCTTTTTTTTCCCCCCAAGAATAGCAGGAATGCCTTCATATGGACATTTTTCACTTCAGAAATTTAAAAAATTACAAAACAGTTCATCTCTATGGAGAGTTTGGTTACAATTATTAGGAGGCTTCTCTTTCTAGCACATGTATCTGTCAATCAATCCTCTTCATTATCAGAATTCTCTTAGAGCCACTAACGGCTTTGTTAACTCTATTACTTGTGATTAGAAGTTGCTGCGCTAGGTCCCCATTGTTCAAATTTGAAGGTATCCCCAGGTTGTGACAGTGGTCTACCATGTTTCAAGTTCTATAAGGCAGGCCCTGTGGCTGAGCAGGACACCAGGCA